AAGGAAATCAAGTTCAGCGGTTTTCAAACGCCCCCGGATATTATTTTTCAGTTTTTTTTGGGGCTAGCCATATGTTTTTTGATGAGCCCCGGGAGTCCTTTGAGGGGTTTTGCCCCGTTGGATCAGGATGCTTCCGATTGGGGATTCCCCCCGGGTTTGGTTTGGGACCCCCCCGCCCGACCGCCCCGGACAGGACCGGTCCCGCCGGGTTTTAACCCCCCTGGGGTTCCCCCCCCCGGGGGGATTGTGGCCCCCCCCCTCCCCCTCACTCTTTGGGGGGTTTTTCGGCCCCCCCCCCCCTCCCCCCCCCCCCCCCCAGGCCGGACCGCGGTCGCCGGGGACGCCGCCGCTGCCGCCGGCTTCTCGGCGGCAGTACGGCTGCAGGCTCTGCGGCTCAAAGGACCACAACCTCACCACGACGACGAAGGGTGAGAGGTCGGTGACCTGCCCCTACCACGACGACTTCGAGGACGTGATCGGCAAGACGGTCAAGGTCGACTTCGTCAAATTGACGGAGAGTGAGAGGGCCGCAAAGCGGGCGGAGGAGGCGGCGAAGAAGGCGGAGGAGGCGGCGAAGGAGGAGGAGGAGGAACAGGAGGGAGAGCCGTGAGCTGCGCAGTGAGAAGAGCGGCGGCGTAGTAGCGGTCGAGAGTTGTGTTCTTCACACCGTGTCGGGAGGTGTCCGGCGACGAGGGGTCGCGACACACATCTCGCACGCGAGGTCGAACCATGTCCTCTTCTTCTATTTCTTCACTTTCCTGAACGCCTTGCCTATCATCATGGTTGCAACTAAAAAGACCTCCAAGCCCTGGGAGCCCTCCCCTTTCTTTCTTTCTTTTTCTTTAGCCGCCAAAACTGACACGCGGCGTCTCTCAAGACCTTCTCCCCCACCACACGGCAATCCCCCTCCCTCCACCACCAACCCACCACCACCACCACCCACCACCACCCACCACCACCCACCACCACACACACACACAACCACACACACACACACACAACCACACCACAACACACACACACACACACACACACACACACACACACAACACACAACACACAACACACACACACACACACTCACACACACACACACACACACACCGTCGCCAGCAGATAGACGCAATGCGACCGCGGGAACGTGTGTGCATGAGCGATCCCGACCGACGCAGTTCAAGAACCAATTGGAGTGTAAGAACGGCACGAGTGTCCTCGCAGCCTCAAGCAAAACCCCGTCGGACGTATGCGCGGGAGCGCGCGAGAGGTCGCCTCATCTTCACGTTCTGTGGGTCCTGGATGCTGGATTTCGCTACCACGAGCGTGTGTGCCACATGACACCCCACGGCGTCGGGGCTGGCGAGATCTCAGGCGAGGCGCAGCAGCTGCATGAGCTCCCGCTCCAGCGTGGCACAGCTGCTCCCCTCGCCCATCTCCCGGCCCGGCTGCTGAGCGGCCAGGTTGAGAATGTCCGCCATCGCGGTGGCGATGTGAGCGGCGTACGCGCGCGCCTCCTGCAGACGCTGCTCGGCCCGCGAGAGCTTGACGCCGTGCGGTGCGAGGCGGGCGCACACCTGTGTGAGAGCGCCGTCAAGCGCAGCGTTGATGGCAGAGGGGAGGTGCTTCGCCGGCATGATGCGCCTCCTCGATGCATCGGAAAAGTGAACGTTGGGGCTTCGCAGGTGGAGGCAGAGCCAGCCGCAGCGGACGGCGTCGTCGCCTTCTGAGCCCACTCGGAGCCCGCCATCCCCTGGCGACGTCAGCGATGAACCCAGGTGCTTCTTCCACCCGCGCGCGCGCTTGATCGCATCGAAGCACGCGCAGCCGGCGACGAACTGCTGCTGGTCGGCGAGGTCCAATCGCTTGTTGTTGAGAAGCACGAGCACGTGGAGCGGCGCGGTGGAGGAATCGGCGCCGGAGCGAGAGCGCGGCTGCTCTGCCGAGGGGGCTCGTGGCTCCACCGCGAGCTGGAGCGTCGCGTGCGCGAACCCAGAGCCGGACAGCACTCCGCGCCCAGCACCGTGTGCGGCAATCACTCTGCCGCTCTCAGCTGCGGGCGGGCCTCCTTGGGACTCCGACTCGGCGCCGAGCGTGGTCTCGGCGGCAGGCACAACCACGCAATCGCGGAGCTCGTCCTGGAGCGAGTGGAGCAGCTGCTCGACGCCTGGCAAAGATGGCGCTGGCCCCGCTTGCACGAACATGCGGCTCATCACCACCGGCTCGACTTGGTGCCGCACAGTGTAGCTGCGCGCGCCCGCCTCGCCGTGCGATGTGGCTACGTCGAGCTCGATCGTGAGGGACGACGTAGTGCAGAGGGCCTGCGCAGAGTACGCGATGGCGTCTCGCAGCACGTCGATTGCCTTCCGGCCGCCGAGGAGAAGGGCCGAGACATGCGACCCGCTCCCGTCGTAGTCCTCCAGGAGCTGTGGCGGGGCGGTCACCGATGCCGGCTCGGCGGCGTCGGCGTGATGAGCCGCGCCCCACGTGCGCCGCCGCAGCTGTCCCCTCGCGACGCTCAGAATCTCGGCGAGCTCGTCTGGGCCAGGGTGGGACCCGCAGCCCCCGCCCCACCAGTACGTACTGACGGCCCAGCGGATCACCGTGGCCAGGCCAAGCCCAGCCAAAACGCCGCGGTCACCGATGGCGTCCAGCGCCGTGCCAAAGCCCGGGCCGTCATCGCTGACGCAGACCTGGTAAATATTCGTACCAGGCAGGCCCTGGACGCTGATCTTGATCGTGTGGTCTCTGCTGTCGTCAGCTTCGCACGCGGCAACAGCATTCTCCAGCAGCTCCAGGACGCTTCGGCAGAGCGCGCGGTCCGGGTCTGCGCCCGCGCCAAGCCCAGCCTGACCAAGGAGCGGTGGCGCGCGACAGTCGTCGTCGGACTGGGAGTCGTGCGGCCACGATGCGGTCGCCTGCGACGCCGTGGAGGCGGACATCGACCTGCCTCGAGATTTTTGCACTGCCAAACACGGAAACGCTGTGCTGAAAAAAATGGTGCGCTCAGTTTCTTCTGTTCGGGGAATCTGCCAGTTGATCTCCCTTGCCCCTCTTGGTGTGACCGTTCTCTCCCTCCGCGACCCCCGAGATGTGTCTAACGTTGTCTTGTTCGTTACAGCCGTGTCTGTGAAGTCACTCCCCATCCCCTCGGGCCTCCGCACAACATATAAACCTCTATCTCTCTCTCTCTCTCTCTCTCTCTCTCTCTCTCTCTCTCTCTCTCTCTCCCTCCCTCCCTCCCTCCCTCCCCCCCCCTCTCTCCAGCGCAGGGCAAACACCTCACCCTCTCAAAAGAAAGAAAAACTGTCGCACTTAGCTAACTTACCCCCAGGAGCCAGGTACTGTGCCGTAGAGACCTATGCCCAGGCGCACAGAAGGCAAAGGAGCTGGCGGGCAAGGTGCTGGCCAAGGACGAAAGCGGTGGTTACCTTGTCGTCAACGAGGGTGCGTCAAACCCACAGCTGGCACACGCACGCACCACGCCTGAGGGCACACACGCTGCACGCTCCTCCTCTCCTCCGTTTCCATCTCCCTCGGGGGGGGGGAGCGGGGAGGGGGCTCCCTCCCTGCTCTCTCCCTCCGATATCACGCCGCCGACAGAAATGGAGAGGCCAGCCGCATCGGGCGCGGCATCGGGCGTGCAGGTCCACTACGACTCACAGGCGCACAAGCACACGAACTTGCGCGACGCCCTCGCGGCCCGTCGGGCGGGCGTGCTCTTCACTTACAAGCGCTACGCGAACTCCATCAAGCGGCAGCTCATCCAGTCCCACGCGCGGGACGCGCGGCTCCTGATCGACATTGGATGTGGCCGGGGCGGGGACATCGCCAAATGGCGTGATGCTCGCGTCCATGTGCGGCAACGCCGCCGCCCCCGCCCCCGCTGCCACCACCGCCTTCACAGAGCTGACGGAACCTCTGCCCGTCGCCACGCAGCACGTCGTCGCGATGGACCTCTCGGCCGCGCAGCTCGACGAGGCGCGCAGCCGCGAGACGGACGGCCGGGGCGGGGGTGGGCGGGCGCACACCGCCATCGCCTGGCGGCAGCTCAGCATGCTGGCGCCCGACTTCGCCGAAGAGCTCGAGCCGGAGGTGGCGCGCGGCGGCGGCGGCGGCGGTGCCGACGCCATCTCTGCCATGTTTTGCGTCCAGTTCGCCTTTGGCTCGGAGGCAGTCGCGTCTGCGCTGCTCCGGCAGGCGAGCACTGAGCTGGCTTGCACGCGTGTGTAGTGTGTACGCGTCGATCAGAAGGGAGCTGGTTTGGCAGGTGAGCTCGCTGCTGCGGCCGGGCGGCGTCTTTTTCGGGACGGCGCCCGACGCAGATGCCGTGCTGACCGCCCTCGGCGGGTCCAGCTCGGTCACGCTGCAGGTGCGCTTATGCTCGCGTGGCTGCCGGGAGGGTGCGAGAGGGGCAGGAGGGCGCATGCGCTCGCGCCCGTCTCGCCTCCCTCGCCGCCGCCGCTGACGCGCCCTCCCCCTGCCCCCTCGGCTGTCGCGCCGGTCGACCCAGCCGCCGCAGGTGCCCTTCGTGCTGCGGCTCAGGCTGCTGGAGGAGGCGGCAGCCGGCCGCGGCGAGGGCGGCGAGGGGTTGGGCGAGTCCGACGAGTTTGGCCGCGCTCTCTTCTTCTCCCTCGAGGACACGGTCACGCAGGCGAGCCCGCACACCGCCTTGTGGCACAGGCACTTCCTAGACAGTTCCGAGACAC